ATGTAAGCATCACACCCACAGACCAGAGGTAGCTGGTACTGGGGAGGGTGTCGCTATTTCTTACAGATGGACTGTATAAAACATGGACGTCCCCCATCAGTTTCTGAAGACGTGTTTTGATGCTGAACGATGGCGATCGCCATATTGGAAATGCAGACTCACACTAAATATTGATCAATTTCGAAACAGACAAAGCGGTAAACAGCTACAATGCCTCCTCCCAGGGGGGATTTTAGGATCAGATCTTTCGGAATTGCTTGTTAGCATGCTAATTAGCAGCATACTGGCTGTTATTGTTAGGGTTAGTACCTTATTCTACATGATCACTATTGATAACTGGGCCTTTAACTAAGAGTTTGCCCTCAATATACCCTCCTAATTACAGACTAAAAAGCAGCTAGTATGCTACTAATTAGCATGCTAATAAGCCACTATTAATGGTGAATATCGTGACCTTAATTTAAGCGTTACTCAATAAATGTCCTTAATTTTATTAACAATTATAGTAACATGAGGGCTACTTAAGTTTGACACCACAAAATAATTTGTAAGGAGATGAAAGATCGAATATAGAATAGAATAGAATAGAATATGCTGCTTTTGCAAAAGTTTTAGCTGTTATCATTATTATTATTAATTTAAAATTTATTATCGTTCTTACGTTATTTTGTCAGCAATTCAGCATAATGTGTAGGCTAATTCTATTCACTGTTGAGCCATATATTAATGTCAATATATTTATAGTCTATCAACCTTTTGAATGCAGGACTTTACATGTACTGTAACGTTCATCTCAACACTTTGTATAATTACTACTTTGGATGTTTTTCTCACTAATTATATCACTTTTCTGTTCACTAATTTTTTTTATAAATTCATATTTTCTCACCAAAAATAATATATCTTTAGCATCAACAGGGTATCTGCAGGTTTCAGCAAGTCAAATTTAAGACTTTTTAAGACCTTTTTAATGCCACCTTGACCGAAAACACTATAAATGTAGGCGATGGTTGGGGGATCCCGCTGTACTACACCCCAAGCATAGCATGTGTGTCACTCAATGAGACTCATTCAAGTTTACTTTTTGTCTGTTTATTGAACATGAAGTGATACTCAGTGCTCTCTGGTTCAACAGCTGTATGTACAAGTGCAGTTTAACTGCATGTTTCCGACCAAGTATACAAAAAAATATACAAAAATACAAAATATACAAAGAAATATAGTACATTTAGTCAAACAGTAGTGTGCAACTTGAAACATCTAACAAAAAAAACTACTGGACCTACTGAACACACACGCATGTCATGATGAGCCTCAGTTCTGTGGCCTTAATCTTCAGTTCTGCCTCTATTTTTTTCAGCTCACTCAATTTATCTTTGTACCTCTTCCTGAGGACGTTTGACTTTGTGATGAGCTGAGCCATCAAGGTGCCGGACTTACCCTCAGCTTGCTCAGCAAACGTGTCTGCATCCTTCTCCAGAGAGCCACATACCTCCAGGAGAGTTTGCTTTTTCTTTTGAAGCTCAGCGATGTGGTCTTCTGCAGCTTTCCTCTTCTGCCCTTGTGCAGCGCTTTGGCTCTTCCTCTTCTCCAGGTCAAGGTGTTCTCTGTATTTTGACCTTGCTGATCCCACCGAGGTCAGCAGCTCCTTGGTGAGAGGGACATTGGCAACCCCCCCCCCCCACAAACTGCAACATAGTCACAGACCAGTCTCTGGGCAATGACAGTGTGCTCCTGAAGGTTAACAGTCTCCTTGTTAATGGAGAAGCCTCTCTCGACCGTTGCCTGCCCATGGGATAAGAGTAGAAGATTCTGACAGAAACCCCAAAGTTCAGGGTAGGGTTGGCTGAGGAAGCCATGCAGAAACACATCAAGCCTGGTTTCTATGGGCCGGAAGGACAGGAAGTGCTCGCTTTTAGCCTCGACAGACAGGAAGTTCCCAAACTGTTGGATAATCACATCACCTGTAACAAAACAGATGAAAGGAAATATGTGAAATATTATTTAGATGATTAATCATGATATTAGCAGACAGGCTTATGTCCAATTGTTCCATGGCTGATGATCAGGAACAACATTATAACTATTCTATTAACTACTCAAACCAGCAGAGACACATCTGGAAAACTGCTTGTCTTGCAGAAACTTCTGCACTAGACTTCTCATTCTTCCCTGGCACCAGTCTGGGTCGGAGTACATGACTGTGAGGTCCAGGCATGCCACCTGTCTCACAATGGGGTACTTCAGGGGGCTCTTGTCCTGGACTTTCTGTAGGATATTTGACATACCCTTCACGTAGTCCTTCCTAAACTCTAGGAAGTTCTTTCTCCTACGCTGTTCTTTCTCTGGAGGTCCTGACAGATGGGTAATGTGTTGTAAATACAGCTGAATGGCCTAACACAGCATTCTCTCCTGCCTGGATATGGAGCATCATTTGATAGAAAGTAAGTAATACATCTAAATGACCTCCAGGGCTGCCTCTGCACCCAAGCCTGTGTCAGCTTCCTTCAGGTTGATCTTCTGGTCAGAGACATCCAGCCTGACCAGCTGCAGTGGAGTGATGTTGTGGAGATGCTCCCTCTTGACAAAACGCCTAAGCATACTCTGAAAGGGTAAAAGGAAAATGCATGATGATTGTAAAGCAAGTACCTTGATAACCACATTAACCATGAAATACATTTCTATATAGTTATTTAAAATAATCTCTTATCATCACCATAAGCAGGTATCAAAAATGATGAGTGACCTTTACTTCGCCAAAACATAATCTTTCAGTAATTTTAAGTATTGATTAGGGACGAGTTTGATGAATCAAGCTACCAAACAGCGTCTCCCATTTCTGCATGCTCACACACACACACACACACAGTATGCACACACACGCTCAACTTGTTTTGCTTTTCTCTTAATTTGATTACCTTGAACAACTCCACCAAGTCTTTGCAAAGGAATGGCATGACTGGTGCGTCAGTCTGATACTTTGTCAGAAAGGGAGTGAAGGTCCTCGAGATAGCCATGAAGAACTGTAGCTTAGGCAAGATGAGTGGATCTCGCTGGGCTGCTTCTATAAATGAGGCTGTTCCTCACTGCATCCACATACTTCACCAGTGATGGCCATACCTTTAATATTTCGTCATGTATGTGTGCATTACTTTATCTTGCATGTCTATTTCATCATATATTGTGCAGCACCTTGTAATTATGTTTTGATAAGTGCTATATAAATAAAGTTTCATTTCTTTCAACTGGCAGGTTCTCAATCCACCGATGGCCACAGAACGTTTAATGGGAAGACCGAGGATTTGGTGAAGGCACTGAAGTCATCCCTCCTCGCCGTGTATTGTGGAAAAGGAAGTGCATCGCCCTCAACACCTTGGTCAGTGGTGGTTCTAGACCACTTTTACTGAGGGGGCCAAACTGGGGCCAGTTGTTTAGTCAGAGGGGAACATTAAACCAGGTGAAAAATACACAAAGATGATCTCTTTAAAAATATATTAAGCCAAATAATAGCGCACATTATTAAATACCATGATTTATATTTGATTCAGTAACAGAATTTAATACTAGATGAGTCCGGTTGTTCAGTCACTGGGTTATGTGTTATTAGGGGGGCTCTTCCTTTTGGAGGGGGGGCCACAGGGGGGTCCAAGCTCAGTGTTACAGGAGCACTGGCCCCTGTTGGCCCCTGCCTAGAACCGCCCATGGGTGGGAGAGAGGGGAATGATGAGTTAACCGTCATCTCTGATGGGGAATGACATTCACCCATCCATGCACAACACTGATAGCCCTGCCATATCAGACTGTGCAACCAGCGCGTCCTTACAAAATAACAAACAAAAACAAAGAGACACTCAAACACGTCACAACAATAAACTTCAACTGTTGCGCAAACGACGAACTTCCGCTTCCGGCGGTTCACTCAGAAATGATCTCGGCTGGATTACTGTAAATCGTTCCGTGTGTTCCTTCTCGGTTACTTGAGAACAAATTAAATTTAAAAATAATTAACAAACGTTTAAGAATGTTAATAAAAAAGCGAACATTCGTGTTGCCTTTAGCTGTCGTCTTCTGCAGTGCTTTTAAAAAAATTATATTATTATACCAAAAAATAAACGATGCAACATAATACTCGAAAAATGTGCTAACAAGCATCATGCATGTGTGGCACATTGACAAAAAAAAAAGATACAAAAGCACTTTCTAAATATTAATCTAACCATTGAGTCCAGACGGTCAAACTGAAGAGGGACGCTGTTGCTATGACAACACAAACAAGAAACAAGAAACAACACCGATATCCCTGGAGCTGAATCACAGACCAAAGGAGTTTTCTGGTTGTATTTTGTTCAAAAAGATGATTCCACCAGCCGAATCTCTGCTCAAATACGACAATCCAGTTTTGATCAGCAAAAGCACTGACAGAAAATCCCCAAAGGTGAGTTCAGTAACGCCAGCCGAGTTTATCCGACGTTTAGTGGTCAAAGTTAGTTAAATAAATAGTTTTGACCGTACAGATATTCCTGCTATAATGGCTGCTGCTGTTTCTATGTTTTTTACCAACATCTTTCAATCCCCGAAGCTTTTTAAAGTTATTAAATGATGATGAATATACTGTATCATGTATTTCAGGCAAAGAAAGTTGATTCATTGTGTAACATGAAATACTTTTCACAACAGGGGCGACCTTTAAAAGTGAGTCCACAGCAGGTGGGGGAACAGTCTACCCCTGTTCCAACACCTCCAAAATCAAAGCCCACCTCTACTGACACCAACAAGCAGGAACATGAGGAGATCCTAAACGCCATCCTTCCACCCAGGTACAGTTGCATCCATCTACAGTGTGTCATTCATTAAGTTCAATCCACTCAGTTTATCTAAACTTCTGTTATTGCAGGGAATGGACTGAAGGAACCCAGCTGTGGGTGCAGCAAGTGTCCAGTGCACCTTGTACAAGAACAGATGTTATTCACCTAGAGGAGCTGCTGGACACAAAGCTGCAACAAAGGCAGGCCAGACAGACAGGAATCTGCCCTGTCCGCAGGGAGCTCTATTCTCAGTGCTTTGGTGAGGAGGAGGCTCTGATATTTGTGATCACTGAGGCTATTGTGTTGACAAGGATTGAGGATCAAAGAACAAGAATTTGAGCCAGTTTTTTTGTGTACACGTGGCTTAAATTTCATTGCCTTACAGCTTTCTTCTGAAGCGTTTTGTATACCACTGAAAGCACACTTTTCTCCTCAAATATGTTCCTGTTGCATTTACTCATTTTCTATTTCTTTAAGATGAGCTCATCAGACAGGTGACCATCAACTGTGCTGAGAGGGGCCTGCTGCTCTTGCGGGTCAGAGATGAGATTCAAATGTCTATTGCTGCCTACCAGACTCTGTATGAAAGCAGTGTGGCCTTCGGTATGAGGAAAGCCCTTCAGTCAGAGCAGGGAAAGGTGGACATGGAGAAAAAAGTAAGGACATTCACTTTTTTGTTGTGTTTAGCAACAATAGATAGCATACAAATGTGTATACAGTATTTGCCACAGAAGCTGAAGGAATAACTATTGAATGCTATTTGGTTTAGTATCCAGCAGAGGGCAGCATTCCTCTAAAATAATGTTTGGTCTTAACATCACTGATCCTGCATTTTAATAAACTTTAAACACCTAGATTACTGATCTTGACGATGAGAAACTGGAGCTGAAGAAGCAACTGAACGAACTCAAGTCTCAATGTGATGCCATTGAAAAACGAGAAATTGAAAGGCGACAGATTGAAGAAAAGAAGCACGTGGAAGAGATCCAGTTCCTCAAGAGAACCAACCTGCAGCTCAAGGTGACGTTTCAAGGCTTCACACCACAGAAATATATCTTCCCCCTGCACTTGTTCCTGTAGTGGATGTGGTTATGATGTTAATATTCTTATTTTGTTTTCCTCTTTAGACCCAACTGGAATTGATCCTCACACCAAAGAAGTAACACCACCATCAATAACAGAGTGGCCATTTGACTGCACACAATGTGACATTTGTCTTGTTTCTAAATATCTATCAATGTAAATTCCACACAGTGTAATCAGAAAGAGTTTCATTTATTCCAACAGCATGACATGACAAGTACAGCTCAAGTACTGTACACATCTCTTGAACATCAAGAGAGCATCACACGTGTTTATGATGAATGCAAAGTCATTCAAACACCGTTCTTGGTTGAAGGGGAGAAAAAGCTGAGAAGGCAGTTTTTGTTCTGAGAGGGACACGCGGTCAGGAGAAGGCATCAAGTGGCTACTTGATAAAACTCTTTATACACACCTGTTATAAGTCCACCGTCTTTCAACTCCTTGATTCCATTAATAAGTCATTTTTTTGGGCTAATATAAATAAAAGAATCATTACATGTTCCCTTTAAAGACTTCTCTCTAGTGCTTCGATCTTTTAGCCTTGTGGCCCTCTGTGGATGAAGCCGGGGCCTTTCTGTTCTTGTTGTTTTTCACGTTGTGCATTTCATAATAACCAACTTTCTTTGCTTTCTTTCGGTCCATCGCTCTTCTCTGTGAAGACAGATATAGCAGAACCAAAAAAATTATTCCGTTAAAAAATTTAATCAGAGCGTTTCATTTAAAAAACAAAAAAACCTATTACATCAGTTAGATGAATAGACATTAATCTTGTCCAGGCAGAGCGATCTGTTTGACATCAGAGAGAGCAAACACTGCATACCTGTTTGGATGTCAGTTTGCGCGCCTGGGTGGACTCCTCGTCATCCCCGGCTCTCCCCTTCTTCTGGTTTGCAGCTGAAGTCAAACAGAAGATTAACAGATCTGAGTGCCTGGGTGATTTTAAAGTCAACTTGACCTGGTTGTGTAACTCCAGGTTAAACTCTGGGAAATGCACCATCATACCAGAGAGTTGGCATGCGTGGGTTTTTGTTAACGTAGTTCTGAGAAATGGTGCAATATTTTTTGTGAATAAATGATTTGACATTCAGCACCATACAAGGTCTTGAGCACATCCCTGGACTGAACATTAATGTACATTATGTGTAAATAGTATTAAACATCTGTAATCATTTTAAATCAAATTCATGCTCTCTTTTTAAATCCTGTCAAGTGTCCACCTGTTGAAATGTTCCAATTTCCCTTGTGTGACTAACGAAAGATGTCTCTTAGTTATAATTATCTTACCTTCTCCAGTTGCCACATGGAGAATCCACATTTGAATGCGTTATGTAGGGTGTGGAGGCCACAGCTACCCACAACAACCAGCTGGACACCACCATACTGCTCAGCGTGCTCTTGCTGTAGAAGCTCAAAGAACTTTCAATTTACATTGGGTCCATCCATGGAGATAGACACCATGTTCCTCAGATTCAGCTTCTCCACACACTCCTGAGAAAGACATGAATATGATTATAATGACATGATTGCCAGTGGTTCAGTGTAATTTAACATTCTGTCTGCACACATCAGTTAACATTAACTCTCTCCCTCTTCCTCATCCATCCATCCCTCTTCAGTGTTGGTGTTGCACCAAATGCTGCTCTCAGGTCAGTGCTAGAAGCAGCGGGGACCGTTGTCTGTGGCGCTGGCCCCGGGGCAGAGACGCAAAACTGTGATATGGCTGGGGTCTGTTGGCTCCTGGTTTTGTGCTTTTCGCACTGCATGTGACTCTCGACAGCCTTAACCCCCATGGTGCCGAGCTTGAAGGTCCTTTTGCACAGAATGCATCTGGCCTCGTCTGGGTTGGCAACAGACGTGAGCCAACTTAGAAAACGGACGTCGTCCAGCCAACTCTCAATAAATTTGCACTTACCCATAGTCGCAGACTAGCTAGCAAGCATGCAGATAACCATTCATATCAGCAGCTAGTAAGAAAGTAGCCTCTCTACATCTCCTTCTCGAAAAGTCCCGCGAGAAAAATAAAAAAATATATAACATTAAATAGTCCTGCCCCGACAAATTGAAGACCTTTGAGTAATGTATTTAAGACCAGCATATAACATTTTAAATGAATTTAAGACATTTTAAGGCTTTTTAAGGATGCGCGGACACCCTGATCAATAACTTGTACGTTTTTCTGCCATTTATTAAGTTAGTTTGAGACAGTATTTCCAGTATGAAGAATTTAAGAGTTCAATCCCACTAACACAGCTGGTCGGGGTCAAGTTAACCCGACTGTGTTGTTCATTTTCACTCTTAAACCGGATCGATCTGGTTTCTTTTCTCACAGAAGATCAGACAGCTCAGTCTGGACATGATGTAATGTAAGGTTTATATTAATAATTGACCTTTTATGCAATAATTTGATGATGTTAAACTAATTAAACAGTTAAAATATATACGTTTTGAGTGGTTTTCTGCTCGTTAGCTGTCTTGGTAGCCCTCTAGTTAGCATACATTTTTGAATAGTTGGAACTGAACAGACATGCTTTGCTTACTTGGCTGCTTACTGGCCCGAGGTAAAAGTCAGTTCACTTAAAATGGTCTCTTATTGAGCTGAACGTAGACTATTTTTAGTTTTTACAATCTGCATCAAAACAACAGCACTTCCCTGAATATGATCGACAGAGAAAAAAGGGCAACAAGGTAGAAGGAAATAGCAACAAAACATGCAAGCTAAGTAGAAAATGCTTGATAGAAAAGTTACTCTAAAGGATTTTGTGAGTGAATTTTGTCCGTAAATGTGTAACAAAGAACATATCGAGGATATGAGAGGATTTATAGACTTTATTTCATTGTCTGGTGAGTCTGCGGTACATTTTTGCCATGTCATGCTAACATAGCTCAAATGGTAATTCAAGTGAATAAGATTAGCTGTTGTCGAAGAGGTCTGTGTTTTTAAATGGGATAACTTCATAAAAGTTAACTAGTTCATAAAAAAAGCTAAACTCCTTAAATTTCATAGCTAAAAACACAACTTTTTATTAAAATGAAAAATGGTGCTCATGGTACTGCGTCGTATACTTCATACCAGTTTTGGTTTTTAAACGCGAAGCAGCTGGCAATGTTGATATGATATGAAAAAAAAAAAGTACCCCCCGCCCTTCTCCCTTTCTCTCTTCCATAAACACCCGACGGCGCCCACCATCGCCCATTAGACGGCTCTCACCCCCCCGTCCCTCCGCGGGTGCGTCATGTTTTGTCTCCTCAGCTTGATAAGGATGACATGCAGAACGTTCAGAGGTCAAACTGATGTGTTTTGGGTCCAGGCTGTAAGGATATCAGCAGTCATGACTCTCTCCAGGATAAGCCGTGGCCCTGCACATCAGTAGGTTCCAAAATCTCTGTGATGACAGATAATAGAAGAATAAAGGGGACTCTGCCAAGAAACAAAAGGCAGTTACGTGATTTTGCAAACTTGTCAACCATTCCTTTTGAGCCACAACCCAAAAACGTTAGCAGATGAAGCTTCTAGGACCCTAAAGCTGGCTCTACTAAACATTAGATCACTGGCAGGGAAATCATTTGGAATCAATGATTTTATTATTGAGCACAAGCTTGACTTTATGTTTTTAACTGAAACTTGGTTAGATCAAAACAACAGTGCAGCTGTTCTTATTGAGTCAACCCATCCCAACTTCAGTTTTGTAAGCGAGGCCAGAGTGCATAAGAGAGGAGGAGGAGTTGCAGTTTTGTTTAATGAGTCTTTCCAATGTAAGCAATTATCTTTTGGAAATGTTGCTTCTTTTGAATAAGCGACCCTTCAGTCCACCCCCAGAGCCATGTTCCTAAATATTTACAGGCCACCTAAAAACTGTGCAAACTTTTTCGATGATTTCACTGAACTGCTGTCTGTGATCTGTATTGACTTTGACTGTGTTATTATTGTTGGTGACATCCATGTTGATAACCCCCAGGACAGAGGGACTAAAGAACTGTTTCACACTCTTGATAGCTTTGGGCTGACTCATGACAGAGCCCACACACAACAGAGGGCACACTCTGGACTTAATCATCTCCAAGGGCTTGGACATCTCCAAGGTTGTTGTGTCAGATGTTGCCCTCTCTGATCACTCCTGTGTTTTATTTGAGAGTACTACATCAGTGTACAAAAGTATTCAAACAAAAGTGATCACAAAACGGTATATCACTGAAAACACCAGTGAAATATTTAACCAGGTTTTCTCTTCCACAGCTGCCCTGTCCTGGGGCTCAGTCAGTGAGTTGGTAGATAACTTCAATTCTAAAATCACAAATGTTATTGATTCCATTGCTCCCACTAAGGTGAAGGTTGTCTCTGGTAAGAAACGGAAAAAGAGATTGTCAAAAAGCTGAACGCAGGTGGCGTAAAACTAATCTCCAGATTAATTATGATATTTACAAAGAGAGACTTCACACTTATAATTCACAACTGAGGAATGCAAGGCAATCTTTCTTCTCTGACATCATCACCAGAAACAATAATAATGCTCGTGTCCTGTTTGCTACTGTCGCCAGGCTAACAAACCCTCCTGTGTCAATAGCATCTGAATTTCATTCTACCAGAGCCTGTAACACATTTTCCACCTTCTTTACTGAAGAAATCCAGAAAATTAGACAAACTGTCAGTAACTCATCATCAGGATCAGGACATGTTCTGTGTCCATTTAAAACCAACTTAAGCACCATGACACAATTTAATCAAATCAACCTTAAAAACCTGGAGGACATTATACAACAATTGAATATTCTGATATCATCTTGATATTCTGCAAACAGGTTTTTTTTAAAAAAAGTCATGGCTCCAGATCTGTTACAAATTCTAAACCTGTCTCTTCTCTCAGGTGTCTTCCCACAGGCCCTGAAAACAGCAGTCATCAAGCCACTATTAAAAAAGAACAATCTAGACAAGTCAATAATGAACAATTACAGGCCGATATCAAATCTTCCTTTTTTAAGTAAAATAATTGAAAAAGCTGTTTTTCAACAGTTAAATAACTTCTTGACATTGAGCGACTGTTTCAATGTCTTCCAGTCAGGTTTTAGACAAAATCACACTCTTATATTATACCCACTGATTTGTCAAAATGAGGGACTGTTTGTGTCTAACCAGCGATAGATACATAAATAACTGGCTAAGACTGTACAACCGAGAAGGAGCCTGTACTATGAAGTAAGTAATATCTTTGTAATATAACAATGAGTAAGGTCTTTTACCTGCTTTTTGTAAAGTGTCTCGAGATAACACTTGTTATGAGTTGACGCTATACAAATAAAAATTGATTGATTGATTGATTGAAGTAAGTGAGTCGATCCACTTCTTACTCAGGATGTTTCTAGTGACTAACTTTTCTGTATTAAACAGCTGGCCACTTTTTCAGTGGACAACCAGCTACCCCAATGCTCGTGACTATAAACATTTGTTTCGCACCACAAAATATTGAAAATGATGGCGTTGTTTCCACCTCTCTAGATGGATCACATCACTGGAGTCATGTAGTTGTACTGATATGGAAGTAAGCGTACTTTTTGATTTAAATAACGTGTACATCAGCTCCTTACTGCTATGTTTGATCATTTTGGGGCTGCAGCTAAGATACAATGTTTAAAACTCTCATACACACCACATAAATGTGTGATAAGCATGTCCCTATAAATAACAGAGTATAAACCGAATTAATAAAGTATTTCAAAATGAAATCAAAAATCAAAACAAATACATCTGATCAACAAATTCATTTAAGTAATTACAGCCAGATCTATTATGCAGTAAAAATGGAAAGTATTACAAGCCTTCATTTGCATAATCGCACTGTCAATTTGTTGCAACAGCTGTGTTTATTTTAACCTTATGTGCTTAACTCAACATTTTTTGATATCATAGTTTGCCTTGCTTTAGTCAAATATGAAAATCTGTTAATGGCAGATATTTCATTTTTCTGATTTTTCAGAAGCTGCAAACACTGCCCCCCTTTTGTAAACGCATGCATAGAAGCTTTGGGTTGATACATCAAGTGACATCTCAGTGCCATCTTCTTTGTTATGGTCAGTGAGGCCAGATAAAAATAATGACAATGCACCTCTCAACCTAGGCCTCGGAAGAGGACGCATGGCAAGTGTGCAGAGGTGCAGTGACAAGTCGCCCGGACTGAATTGCTTCACATCTCTTCATCCAGTTCTACAGATAAGTGCAAAGTCATCACAACACTTGAGTTAAAAGGAAAATTCACACAAACTGGGTTGATAAACATTTTTATTTTTTCTGTGTTGTAACTTCCTTTTTTGGGGGGTTGGTGTTATCAACTTCAGTTTAAGGAGCAAGGTAAGGCTGAGTTCTGAAACTTTTGCTGTGTCACATCTTGAAGTTCTTTCACATCAGAGACCGATGAACTGAAAAGCATCTGAATGAAAAGAGAAAAATATATCAAAAATAAACTTTTATCTTCACATTTAAGCTAAAATCTTATCAAATGTATTGGCCTATTTCATTTTACAACTAAAGCAGAAGATACAGTAGATTTAAAAAGACAGTCTCCCTCAGCATCACAATAACTCTCTAACAAAAAACTTAATTTAATTCAAAGCCAAGGTCTGCTTCTTCAGATGGGACTGCATCAATTCTAACCTTTCCGTATTCTTGATTTCCTTATGTTTGTACCTTTAAAAATCCATGTTGTGCTCCTTCAGCCATTCAAGCAACTCCTCCTGTGACATATGAGACTGAAACCACAACAGACTGTTGAGACTGATGGAGAACTTCACATAGAGGCTGACATCACTTTGATCTCACATTAAATTAGTTTACCATCTGCATTGAAGATGTTAAGAACTGGCATTTTTTTCGTGCAGAGTTCACACAAAGTTGAAAGGAAACATGAAAAACAAAGAAGTGTAGATCACCTTATTTTGCATCAGCTCTTCAATGTCCTCCTTGGTTAATCCCAAACTACAACGATGACACAGTAGCATTTTAAACTTACAAAAAAGGAGACGAACTCTTCCATAACACTGATGGACTGTCGTAATCTTTCATACCTGCTCAGACATTCTTCCAGATGGTGCTCCATTGATTCCTCATAGTCCTTGTCCTCACTCTGCAATCACATGAATAGAGTGGTAATAAGTCCCAAACTTCTGTCTGGATAGTTAGAGAGAAGTAATTGATAAAACAGTGATGCTGAGAATGATAAATTACCACTGTGTGCTCCAGTTGTTTGAAATCTATGTCAGGCAACTGTAGACTACAGCAGAAGATAGAGAGGCATTTTAAACAGTTCAACAGAAAAACATGAACATCATCGAAGCATAATTTAATCTTTCGCCAAATATGCTTTAAAGGAGTTAAACTTACTACTCTTCCAATTTATTAGAAAAAAATCCAAACATTTCGGACCCTCTGAACCTTTGCCAAGTGTTTGCGTTGAACACCCTGCGACAAAGATTCAGAGGGATCAAAACGTTGTGATTGTTTTCTAATAAATTGGTAATGCCGAGGAAGAGAAGTGTGCAGGATTTTTCTTTTCAATATGATCTCTACCATGTACATATTTTCCAAAATTAGATTTTCATACCCTTCTCCGGATCCCAAATTATGTTTCTTCAACCACAGCAGCATCTGATACCGGGATATCGGGGGCTGAAACCACAATAACAAACAAATCAGACCCATAAACATCAAAATATAAGAACTGAAAACATTTTGATTTAAAGTGACATTTTCTTGAAGTGGAACTTAAATCTTCTTTGATATATGATTTTTGAATACACAATCAATTTAAACTTTTTTTTTTTTTGATTTACAGATAAAGTGCAGAATCTTGATCACAGATTACAATTCAGAAACACAGGCTGACTTTAAACATTGAAATATCAAAAAGCTATTTGCTTTTAACTTTTAGATTTAGATCAAACAATTTGTTTTACTTGAATATCATTTGGATACAAATGTTAATTATTTGGATTCAAAATGAAATTGAGACTTGAAAACTGAAAAACATTGAAGTTCTTGGATAAAATGTAAAACAATTGGTTGGTTACCTTGAATTGCCCTGTATGTTTGATACCCAGCTCCACCTCAGGTAATCCCAAACTAAAACAAGGTAAATTTTTTTTGAGAAAAAAATTCACACAATCACTCTTTCCATCACACTGCAACTTAAACCAAACACCATTTGTCATTGCATTGCAACCGTCTTAGGGGCTCTACTTCCAATTTTAGATAACTCTGTATAAATTCAGACCTACAATTTGTCTACTTCCCTAAAATTATTTCAGATGTTACATACCCATCGTCAGGCTTTCCATGCCCTGTCTGTTTTATACCAACGTTGACCTCAGGTAATTGCAAACTACAACAAAAGAGAACAAAAGTTCACACAATCACTCTTTCCATCACATTGCAATTCAAATGATACACCATTTCTCATTGCATTGCAAACATCTTAGGGGTTCTACTTCCATTTCCTTAAGGTAAGTCTGTATTAATTCAGACCTACAATTTGTCCACTTCCCTTTCAGATGTTACATACCCATCGTCAGGCTTTCCATGCCCTGTCTGTTTTATACCGACATCGACCTCAGGTAATTGGAAACTGCAACAAAAGAGAAAAAAATTCACACAATCACTCTTTCCATCACACTGCAACTTAAACCAAACACCATTTGTCATTGCATTGCAACCGTCTTAGGGGCTCTACTTCCAATTTTAGATAACTCTGTATAAATTCAGACCTACAATTTGTCCACTTCCCTTTCAGATGTTACATACCCATCGTCAGGCTTTCCATGCCCTGTCTGTTTTATACCAACGTTGACCTCAGGTAATTGCAAACTGCAACAAAAGAGAACAAAAGTTCACACAATCACTCTTTCCATCACATTGCAACTCAAACGATACACCATTTCTCATTGCATTGCAACCATCTTAGGGGTTCTACTTACATTTCCTTAAGGTAAGTCTGTATTAATTCGGACCTACAATTTGTCCACTTCCCTTTCAGATGTTACATACCCATCGTCAGGCTTTCCATGCCCTGTCTGTTTTATACCAACGTTGACCTCAGGTAATTGCAAACTACAACAAAAGAGAACAAAAGTTCACACAATCACTCTTTCCATCACATTGCAATTCAAACGATACACCATTTCTCATTGCATTGCAAACATCTTAGGGGTTCTACTTCCATTTCCTTAAGGTAAGTCTGTATTAATTCAGACCTACAATTTGTCCACTTCCCTTTCAGATGTTACATACCCATCGTCAGGCTTTCCATGCCCTGTCTGTTTTATACCGACATCGACCTCAGGTAATTGGAAACTGCAACAAAAGAGAAAAAAATTCACACAATCACTCTTTCCATCACACTGCAACTTAAACCAAACACCATTTGTCATTGCATTGCAACTGTCTTAGGGGCTCTACTTCCAATTTTAGATAACTCTGTATAAATTCAGACCTACAATTTGTCCACTTCCCTTTCAGATGTTACATACCCATCGTCAGGCTTTCCATGCCCTGTCTGTTTTATACCAACGTTGACCTCAGGTAATTGCAAACTGCAACAAAAGAGAACAAAAGTTCACACAATCACTCTTTCCATCACATTGCAACTCAAACGATACACCATTTCTCATTGCATTGCAACCATCTTAGGGGTTCTACTTACATTTCCTTAAGGTAAGTCTGTATTAATTCGGACCTACAATTTGTCTACTTCCCTAAAATTATTTCAGATGTTACATACCCATCGTCAGGCTTTCCATGCCCTGTCTGTTTTTTACCGACGTTGACCTCAGGTAATTGGAAACTGCAGCAAAGGAGAAAAAAATTCACACAATCACTCTTTCCATCACACTGCAACTCGAACCATACACCATTTGTCATTGCATTGCAACCATCTTGCGGGTTCTACTTCCATTTCCTGAAGGTAAGTCTGTATTAATTCAGACCTACAATTTGTCCACTTCCCTTTCAGATGTTACATACCCATCATCAGGCTTTCCATGCCCTGTCTGTTTTATACCGACATCGACCTCAGGTAATTGCAAACTGCAACAAAAGAGAACAAAAGTTCACACAATCACTCTTTCCATCACATTGCAACTCAAACGATACACCATTTGTCATTGCATTGCAACCGTCTTAGGGGCTCTACTTCCAATTTTAGATAACTCTGTATTAATTCAGACCTACAATTTGTCCACTTCCCTTTCAGATGTTACATACCCATCGTCAGGCTTTCCATGCCCTGTCTGTTTTATACCAACGTTGACCTCAGGTAATTGCAAACTACAACAAAAGAGAACAAAAGTTCATACAATCACTCTTTCCATCACATTGCAACTCAAACGATACACCATTTCTCATTGCATTGCAAACATCTTAGGGGTTCTACTTACATTTCCTGAAGGTAAGTCTGTATTAATTCGGACCTACAATTTGTCCACTTCCCTAAAATTATTTCAGATGTTACATACCCATCGTCAGGCTTTCCATGCCCTGTCTGTTTTATACCGACGTTGACCTCAGGTAATTGGAAACTGCAGCAAAGGAGAAAAAAATTCACACAATCACTCTTTCCATCACACTGCAACTCGAACCATACACCATTTGTCATTGCATTGCAACCGTCTTGGGGGTTCTACTTCCATTTCCTGAAGGTAAGTCTGTATTAATTCAGACCAAAAAATGTTCCACTTCCCTTGAATAATTTCAAATGTTTCCTACCCATCTTCAGGCTTCTTCTTATAGTCCTTCAGCCAAGCTTCAAACTCAAGCTCAGACATTTGAGTCTGAAACCAAATTAACAAACAATTTAGACGGTTGAAGATCTACATCTAAAATCTTAATCCATTTTGTTCGGGTGAGAGCAGTTAAGTCATTCCATTTTAAAAACTTTTCATTACCTTAACATTCTCCAGTTCTTTTAAGTCTACATCGGGCAATTGCAAACTATGATGGAATACAGAAACATTGTCATGAGTTAAACAGCACGCAATCATTCTGTCCATAAAACTTTAACAAAACCACATTGCGTTTGATAATGCCAACCTAAATCCAGACACTTCCCCTAAGAAAAGTTTCTTACCTTCCCAAAGTTCCCAATTTCTGATGTCTCATCCATAGCCACAACTGGTACTGGGATATTGGAGGCTGAAACCACATTAACAAACCAATCAGAGTGATGAACATCTGTATCTCAGAATTGTAAAGAAAAGTAGATTACCGTGATGTTATCTGTGTATTTTATGTCCACGTCGACATCAGGTATATTCAAACTACAGCAGGAAGAAACAAGAACAAGAGAGAAAATCAAATTAAGATAACCAAACAGCATGATAGTTCTAGTTGCAAACTCCTGTGGATCCTAATCCCAAGATTCTCCACCAGGCATGCCTGTATCACTTCTACCCTACAATCTGGCCACAGCTCTATAAAAATGTTTCCTACCCATCTTCAGACTTCTTCTTATGATCCTTCAGCCAAGCTTCAAACTCAACCTCGGACATTGGAGGCTGAAACCACATTAACAAACAATTCAGACTGCTGATGATCTACATCATAATTTGTAAACCATTTTGCTTTCAGTTTAAAACTGTTGAAGTCATGACATATATCAAACTGTGGATTACCTTTAATTTCTCCAGTTCTTTTAAGTCTACATCGGGCAATTGCAAACTATGATGGAATACAGAAACATTGTCATGAGTTAAACAGCACGCAATCATTCTGTCCATAAAACTTTAACAAAACCACATTGCGTTTGATAATGCCAACCTCAATCCAGACACTTCCCCTAAGAAAAGTTTCTTACCTTCCCAAAGTTCCCAATTTCTGATGTCTCATCCATAGCCACAACTGGTACTGGGATATCGGAGGCTGAAACCACATTAACAAACCAATCAGAGTGATGAACATCTGTATCTCAGAATTGTAAAGAAAAGTTGATTACCGTGATGTTATCTGTGTATTTTATGTCCACGTCGACATCAGGTATATTCAAACTACAGCAGGAAGAAACGAGAACAAGAGAGAAAATCAAATTAAGATAACTAAACAGCATGATAGTTCTAGTTGCAAACTCCTGTGGGTCCTAATCCCAAGATTGTCCACCAGGCATGCCTGTATCACTTCTACCCTACAATCTGGCCACAGCTCCATAAAAATGTTTCCTACCCATCTTCAGACTTCTTCTTATGATCTTTCAGCCAAGCTTCAAACTCAACCTCGGACATTGGAGGCTGAAACCACATTAACAAACAATTCAGACTGCTGATGATCTACATCATAATTTGTAAACCATTTTGCTTTCAGTTTAAAACTGTTGAAGTCATGACATAAAACTGTGGATTACCTTTAATTTCTCCAGTTCTTTTAAGTCTACATCGGGCAATTGCAAACTATGATGGAATACAGAAACATTGTCATGAGTTAAACAGCACGCAATCATTCTGTCCATAAAACTTTAACAAAACCACATTGCGTTTGATAATGCCAACCTCAATCCAGACACTTCCCCTAAGAAAAGTTTCTTACCTTCCCAAAGTTCCCAATTTCTGATGTCTCATCCATAGCCACAACTGGTACTGGGATATTGGAGGCTGAAACCACATTAACAAACCAATCAGAGTGATGAACATCTGTATCTCAGAATTGTAAAGAAAAGTAGATTACCGTGATGTTATCTGTGTATTTTATGTCCACGTCGACATCAGGTATATTCAAACTACAGCAGGAAGAAACACGAACAAGAGAGAAAATCAAATTAAGATAACCAAACAGCATGATAGTTCTAGTTGCAAACTCCTGTGGGTCCTAATCCCAAGATTGTCCACCAGGCATGCCTGTATCACTTCTACCCTACAATCTGGCCACAGCTCTATAAAAATGTTTCCTACCCATCTTCAGACTTCTTCTTATGATCCTTCAGCCAAGCTTCAAACTCAACCTCGGACATTGGAGGCTGAAACCACATTAACAAACAATTCAGACTGCTGATGATCTACATCATAATTTGTAAACCATTTTGCTTTCAGTTTAAAACTGTTGAAGTCATGACATATATCAAACTGTGGATTACCTTTAATTTCTCCAGTTCTTTTAAGTCTACATCGGGCAATTGCAAACTATGATGGAATACAGAAACATTGTCATGAGTTAAACAGCACGCAATCATTCTGTTCATAAAACTTTAACAAAACCACATTGCGTTTGATAATGCCAACCTCAATCCAGACACTTCCCCTAAGAAAAGTTTCTTACCTTCCCAAAGTTCCCAATTTCTGATGTCTCATCCATAGCCACAACTGGTACTGGGATATTGGAGGCTGAAACCACATTAACAAACCAATCAGAGTGATGAACATCTGTATCTCAGAATTGTAAAGAAAAGTAGATTACCGTGATGTTATCTGTGTATTTTATGTCCACGTCGACATCAGGTATATTCAAACTACAGCAGGAAGAAACAAGAACAAGAGAGAAAATCAAATTAAGATAACCAAACAGCATGATAGTTCTAGTTGCAAACTCCTGTGGATCCTAATCCCAAGATTCTCCACCAGGCATGCCTGTATCACTTCTACCCTACAATCTGGCCACAGCTCTATAAAAATGTTTCCTACCCATCTTCAGACTTCTTCTTATGATCCTTCAGCCAAGCTTCAAACTCAACCTCGGACATTGGAGGCTGAAACCACATTAACAAACAATTCAGACTGCTGATGATCTACATCATCATCGGTTTAAAACTGTTGAAGTCATGACATATATCAAACTGTGGATTACCTTTAATTTCTCCAGTTCTTTTAAGTCTACATCGGGCAATTGCAAACTATGATGGAATACAGAAACATTGTCATGAGTTAAACAGCACGCAATCATTCTGTCCATAAAACTTTAACAAAACCACATTGCGTTTGATAATGCCAACCTCAATCCAGACACTTCCCCTAAGAAAAGTTTCTTACCTTCCCAAAGTTCCCAATTTCTGATGTCTCATCCATAGCCACAACTGGTACTGGGATATTGGAGGCTGAAACCACATTAACAAACCAATCAGAGTGATGAACATCTGTATCTCAGAATTGTAAAGAAAAGTAGATTACCGTGATGTTATCTGTGTATTTTATGTCCACGTCGACATCAGGTATATTCAAACTACAGCAGGAAGAAACACGAACAAGAGAGAAAATCAAATTAAGATAACCAAACAGCATGATAGTTCTAGTTGCAAACTCCTGTGGGTCCTAATCCCAAGATTGTCCACCAGGCATGCCTGTATCACTTCTACCCTACAATCTGGCCACAGCTCTATAAAAATGTTTCCTACCCATCTTCAGACTTCTTCTTATGATCCTTCAGCCAAGCTTCAAACTCAACCTCGGACATTGGAGGCTGAAACCACATTAACAAACAATTCAGACTGCTGATGATCTACATCATAATTTGTAAACCATTTTGCTTTCAGTTTAAAACTGTTGAAGTCATGACATATATCAAACTGTGGATTACCTTTAATTTCTCCAGTTCTTTTAAGTCTACATCGGGCAATTGCAAACTATGATGGAATACAGAAACATTGTCATGAGTTAAACAGCACGCAATCATTCTGTCCATAAAACTTTAACAAAACCACATTGCGTTTGATAATGCCAACCTCAATCCAGACACTTCCCCTAAGAAAAGTTTCTTACCTTCCCAAAGTTCCCAATTTCTGATGTCTCATCCATAGCCACAACTGGTACTGGGATATTGGAGGCTGAAACCACATTAACAAACCAATCAGAGTGATGAACATCTGTATCTCAGAATTGTAAAGAAAAGTAGATTACCGTGATGTTATCTGTGTATTTTATGTCCACGTCGACATCAGGTATATTCAAACTACAGCAGGAAGAAACAGAACAAGAGAGAAAATCAAATTAAGATAACCAAACAGCATGATAGTTCTAGTTGCAAACTCCTGTGGTCCTAATCCCAAGATTGTCCACCAGGCATGCCTGTATCACTTCTACCCTACAATCTGGCCACAGCTCTATAAAAATGTTTCCTACCCATCTTCAGACTTCTTCTTATGATCCTTCAGCCAAGCTTCAAACTCAACCTCGGACATTGGAGGCTGAAACCACATTAACAAACAATTCAGACTGCTGATGATCTACATCATCATCGTTTAAAACTGTTGAAGTCATGACATATATCAAACTGTGGATTACCTTTAATTTCTCCAGTTCTTTTAAGTCTACATCGGGCAATTGCAAACTATGATGGAATACAGAAACATTGTCATGAGTTAAACAGCACGCAATCATTCTGTCCATAAAACTTTAACAAAACCACATTGCGTTTGATAATGCCAACCTCAATCCAGACACTTCCCCTAAGAAAAGTTTCTTACCTTCCCAAAGTTCCCAATTTCTGATGTCTCATCCATAGCCACAACTGGTACTGGGATATTGGAGGCTGAAACCACATTAACAAACCAATCAGAGTGATGAACATCTGTATCTCAGAATTGTAAAGAAAAGTAGATTACCGTGATGTTATCTGTGTATTTTATGTCCACGTCGACATCAGGTATATTCAAACTACAGCAGGAAGAAACAAGAACAAGAGAGAAAATCAAATTAAGATAACCAAACAGCATGATAGTTCTAGTTGCAAACTCCTGTGGATCCTAATCCCAAGATTGTCCACCAGGCATGCCTGTATCACTTCTACCCTACAATCTGGCCACAGCTCTATAAAAATGTTTCCTACCCATCTTCAGACTTCTTCTTATGATCCTTCAGCCAAGCTTCAAACTCAACCTCGGACATTGGAGGCTGAAACCACATTAACAAACAATTCAGACTGCTGATGATCTACATCATAATTTGTAAACCATTTTGCTTTCAGTTTAAAACTGTTGAAGTCATGACATATATCAAACTGTGGATTACCTTTAATTTCTCCAGTTCTTTTAAGTCTACATCGGGCAATTGCAAACTATGATGGAATACAGAAACATTGTCATGAGTTAAACAGCACGCAATCATTCTGTCATAAAACTTTAACAAAACCACATTGCGTTTGATAATGCCAACCTCAATCCAGACACTTCCCCTAAGAAAAGTTTCTTACCTTCCCAAAGTTCCCAATTTCTGATGTCTCATCCATAGCCACAACTGGTACTGGGATATTGGAGGCTGAAACCACATTAACAAACCAATCAGAGTGATGAACATCTGTATCTCAGAATTGTAAAGAAAAGTAGATTACCGTGATGTTATCTGTGTATTTTATGTCCACGTCGACATCAGGTATATTCAAACTACAGCAGGAAGAAACAAGAACAAGAGAGAAAATCAAATTAAGATAACCAAACAGCATGATAGTTCTAGTTGCAAACTCCTGTGGTCCTAATCCCAAGATTGTCCACCAGGCATGCCTGTATCACTTCTACCCTACAATCTGGCCACAGCTCTATAAAAATGTTTCCTACCCATCTTCAGACTTCTTCTTATGATCCTTCAGCCAAGCTTCAAACTCAACCTCGGACATTGGAGGCTGAAACCACATTAACAAACAATTCAGACTGCTGATGATCTACATCATCATCGGTTTAAAACTGTTGAAGTCATGACATATATCAAACTGTGGATTACCTTTAATTTCTCCAGTTCTTTTAAGTCTACATCGGGCAATTGCAAACTATGATGGAATACAGAAACATTGTCATGAGTTAAACAGCACGCAATCATTCTGTCCATAAAACTTTAACAAAACCACATTGCGTTTGATAATGCCAACCTCAATCCAGACACTTCCCCTAAGAAAAGTTTCTTACCTTCCCAAAGTTCCCAATTTCTGATGTCTCATCCATAGCCACAACTGGTACTGGGATATTGGAGGCTGAAACCACATTAACAAACCAATCAGAGTGATGAACATCTGTATCTCAGAATTGTAAAGAAAAGTAGATTACCGTGATGTTATCTGTGTATTTTATGTCCACGTCGACATCAGGTATATTCAAACTACAGCAGGAAGAAACAAGAACAAGAGAGAAAATCAAATTAAGATAACCAAACAGCATGATAGTTCTAGTTGCAAACTCCTGTGGATCCTAATCCCAAGATTGTCCACCAGGCATGCCTGTATCACTTCTACCCTACAATCTGGCCACAGCTCTATAAAAATGTTTCCTACCCATCTTCAGACTTCTTCTTATGATCCTTCAGCCAAGCTTCAAACTCAACCTCGGACATTGGAGGCTGAAACCACATTAACAAACAATTCAGACTGCTGATGATCTACATCATAATTTGTAAACCATTTTGCTTTCAGTTTAAAACTGTTGAAGTCATGACATATATCAAACTGTGGATTACCTTTAATTTCTCCAGTTCTTTTAAGTCTACATCGGGCAATTGCAAACTATGATGGAATACAGAAACATTGTCATGAGTTAAACAGCACGCAATCATTCTGTCATAAAACTTTAACAAAACCACATTGCGTTTGATAATGCCAACCTCAATCCAGACACTTCCCCTAAGAAAAGTTTCTTACCTTCCCAAAGTTCCCAATTTCTGATGTCTCATCCATAGCCACAACTGGTACTGGGATATTGGAGGCTGAAACCACATTAACAAACCAATCAGAGTGATGAACATCTGTATCTCAGAATTGTAAAGAAAAGTAGATTACCGTGATGTTATCTGTGTATTTTATGTCCACGTCGACATCAGGTATATTCAAACTACAGCAGAAGAAACAGAACAAGAGAGAAAATCAAATTAAGATAACCAAACAGCATGATAGTTCTAGTTGCAAACTCCTGTGGATCCTAATCCCAAGATTGTCCACCAGGCATGCCTGTATCACTTCTACCCTACAATCTGGCCACAGCTCTATAAAAATGTTTCCTACCCATCTTCAGACTTCTTCTTATGATCTTCAGCCAAGCTTCAAACTCAACCTCGGACATTGGAGGCTGAAACCACATTAACAAACAATTCAGACTGCTGATGATCTACATCATAATTTGTAAACCATTTTGCTTTCAGTTTAAAACTGTTGAAGTCATGACATATATCAAACTGTGGATTACCTTTAATTTCTCCAGTTCTTTTAAGTCTACATCGGGCAATTGCAAACTATGATGGAATACAGAAACATTGTCATGAGTTAAACAGCACGCAATCATTCTGTCCATAAAACTTTAACAAAACCACATTGCGTTTGATAATGCCAACCTCAATCCAGACACTTCCCCTAAGAAAAGTTTCTTACCTTCCCAAAGTTCCCAATTTCTGATGTCTCATCCATAGCCACAACTGGTACTGGGATATTGGAGGCTGAAACCACATTAACAAACCAATCAGAGTGATGAACATCTGTATCTCAGAATTGTAAAGAAAAGTAGATTACCGTGATGTTATCTGTGTATTTTATGTCCACGTCGACATCAGGTATATTCAAACTACAGCAGGAAGAAACAAGAACAAGAGAGAAAATCAAATTAAGATAACCAAACAGCATGATAGTTCTAGTTGCAAACTCCTGTGGATCCTAATCCCAAGATTGTCCACCAGGCATGCCTGTATCACTTCTACCCTACAATCTGGCCACAGCTCTATAAAAATGTTTCCTACCCATCTTCAGACTTCTTCTTATGATCCTTCAGCCAAGCTTCAAACTCAACCTCGGACATTGGAGGCTGAAACCACATTAACAAACAATTCAGACTGCTGATGATCTACATCATAATTTGTAAACCATTTTGCTTTCAGTTTAAAACTGTTGAAGTCATGACATATATCAAACTGTGGATTACCTTTAATTTCTCCAGTTCTTTTAAGTCTACATCGGGCAATTGCAAACTATGATGGAATACAGAAACATTGTCATGAGTTAAACAGCACGCAATCATTCTGTCATAAAACTTTAACAAAACCACATTGCGTTTGATAATGCCAACCTCAATCCAGACACTTCCCCTAAGAAAAGTTTCTTACCTTCCCAAAGTTCCCAATTTCTGATGTCTCATCCATAGCCACAACTGGTACTGGGATATTGGAGGCTGAAACCACATTAACAAACCAATCAGAGTGATGAACATCTGTATCTCAGAATTGTAAAGAAAAGTAGATTACCGTGATGTTATCTGTGTATTTTATGTCCACGTCGACATCAGGTATATTCAAACTACAGCAGGAAGAAACAAGAACAAGAGAGAAAATCAAATTAAGATAACTAAACAGCATGATAGTTCTCATTGCAAACTCCTGTGGGTCCTAATCCCAAGATTGTCCACCAGGCATGCCTGTATCACTTCTACCCTACAATCTGGCCACAGCATAAAAATGTTTCCTACCCATCTTCAGACTTCTTCTTATGATCCTTCAGCCAAGCTTCAAACTCAACCTCGGACATTGGAGGCTGAAACCACATTAACAAACAATTCAGACTGCTGATGATCTACATCATAATTTGTAAACCATTTTGCTTTCAGTTTAAAACTGTTGAAGTCATGACATATATCAAACTGTGGATTACCTTTAATTTCTCCAGTTCTTTTAAGTCTACATCGGGCAATTGCAAACTATGATGGAATACAGAAACATTGTCATGAGTTAAACAGCACGCAATCATTCTGTCCATAAAACTTTAACAAAACCACATTGCGTTTGATAATGCCAACCTCAATCCAGACACTTCCCCTAAGAAAAGTTTCTTACCTTCCCAAAGTTCCCAATTTCTGATGTCTCATCCATAGCCACAACTGGTACTGGGATATTGGAGGCTGAAACCACATTAACAAACCAATCAGAGTGATGAACATCTGTATCTCAGAATTGTAAAGAAAAGTAGATTACCGTGATGTTATCTGTGTATTTTATGTCCACGTCGACATCAGGTATATTCAAACTACAGCAGGAAGAAACAAGAACAAGAGAGAAAATCAAATTAAGATAACCAAACAGCATGATAGTTCTAGTTGCAAACTCCTGTGGATCCTAATCCCAAGATTGTCCACCAGGCATGCCTGTATCACTTCTACCCTACAATCTGGCCACAGCTCTATAAAAATGTTTCCTACCCATCTTCAGACTTCTTCTTATGATCCTTCAGCCAAGCTTCAAACTCAACCTCGGACATTGGAGGCTGAAACCACATTAACAAACAATTCAGACTGCTGATGATCTACATCATAATTTGTAAACCATTTTGCTTTCAGTTTAAAACTGTTGAAGTCATGACATATATCAAACTGTGGATTACCTTTAATTTCTCCAGTTCTTTTAAGTCTACATCGGGCAATTGCAAACTATGATGGAATACAGAAACATTGTCATGAGTTAAACAGCACGCAATCATTCTGTTCATAAAACTTTAACAAAACCACATTGCGTTTGATAATGCCAACCTCAATCCAGACACTTCCCCTAAGAAAAGTTTCTTACCTTCCCAAAGTTCCCAATTTCTGATGTCTCATCCATAGCCACAACTGGTACTGGGATATTGGAGGCTGAAACCACATTAACAAACCAATCAGAGTGATGAACATCTGTATCTCAGAATTGTAAAGAAAAGTAGATTACCGTGATGTTATCTGTGTATTTTATGTCCACGTCGACATCAGGTATATTCAAACTACAGCAGAAGAAACGAGAACAAGAGAGAAAATCAAATTAAGATAACTAAACAGCATGATAGTTCTAGTTGCAAACTCCTGTGGGTCCTAATCCCAAGATTCTCCACCAGGCATGCCTGTATCACTTCTACCCTACAATCTGGCCACAGTTCCATAAAAATGTTTCCTACCCATCTTCAGACTTCTTCTTATGATCTTTCAGCCAAGCTTCAAACTCAACCTCGGACATTGGAGGCTGAAACCACATTAACAAACAATTCAGACTGCTGATGATCTACATCATAATTTGTAAACCATTTTGCTTTCAGTTTAAAACTGTTGAAGTCATGACATATATCAAACTGTGGATTACCTTTAATTTCTCCAGTTCTTTTAAGTCTACATCGGGCAATTGCAAACTATGATGGAATACAGAAACATTGTCATGAGTTAAACAGCACGCAATCATTCTGTCCATAAAACTTTAACAAAACCACATTGCGTTTGATAATGCCAACCTCAATCCAGACACTTCCCCTAAGAAAAGTTTCTTACCTTCCCAAAGTTCCCAATTTCTGATGTCTCATCCATAGCCACAACTGGTACTGGGATATTGGAGGCTGAAACCACATTAACAAACCAATCAGAGTGATGAACATCTGTATCTCAGAATTGTAAAGAAAAGTAGATTACCGTGATGTTATCTGTGTATTTTATGTCCACGTCGACATCAGGTATATTCAAACTACAGCAGGAAGAAACAAGAACAAGAGAGAAAATCAAATTAAGATAACCAAACAGCATGATAGTTCTAGTTGCAAACTCCTGTGGATCCTAATCCCAAGATTGTCCACCAGGCATGCCTGTATCACTTCTACCCTACAATCTGGCCACAGCTCTATAAAAATGTTTCCTACCCATCTTCAGACTTCTTCTTATGATCCTTCAGCCAAGCTTCAAACTCAACCTCGGACATTGGAGGCTGAAACCACATTAACAAACAATTCAGACTGCTGATGATCTACATCATAATTTGTAAACCATTTTGCTTTCAGTTTAAAACTGTTGAAGTCATGACATATATCAAACTGTGGATTACCTTTAATTTCTCCAGTTCTTTTAAGTCTACATCGGGCAATTGCAAACTATGATGGAATACAGAAACATTGTCATGAGTTAAACAGCACGCAATCATTCTGTTCATAAAACTTTAACAAAACCACATTGCGTTTGATAATGCCAACCTCAATCCAGACACTTCCCCTAAGAAAAGTTTCTTACCTTCCCAAAGTTCCCAATTTCTGATGTCTCATCCATAGCCACAACTGGTACTGGATATTGGAGGCTGAAACCACATTAACAAACCAATCAGAGTGATGAACATCTGTATCTCAGAATTGTAAAGAAAAGTAGATTACCGTGATGTTATCTGTGTATTTTATGTCCACGTCGACATCAGGTATATTCAAACTACAGCAGAAGAAACGAGAACAAGAGAGAAAATCAAATTAAGATAACTAAACAGCATGATAGTTCTAGTTGCAAACTCCTGTGGGTCCTAATCCCAAGATTCTCCACCAGGCATGCCTGTATCACTTCTACCCTACAATCTGGCCACAGTTCCATAAAAATGTTTCCTACCCATCTTCAGACTTCTTCTTATGATCTTTCAGCCAAGCTTCAAACTCAACCTCGGACATTGGAGGCTGAAACCACATTAACAAACAATTCAGACTGCTGATGATCTACATCATAATTTGTAAACCATTTTGCTTTCAGTTTAAAACTGTTGAAGTCATGACATATATCAAACTGTGGATTACCTTTAATTTCTCCAGTTCTTTTAAGTCTACATCGGGCAATTGCAAACTATGATGGAATACAGAAACATTGTCATGAGTTAAACAGCACGCAATCATTCTGTCCATAAAACTTTAACAAAACCACATTGCGTTTGATAATGCCAACCTCAATCCAGACACTTCCCCTAAGAAAAGTTTCTTACCTTCCCAAAGTTCCCAATTTCTGATGTCTCATCCATAGCCACAACTGGTACTGGGATATTGGAGGCTGAAACCACATTAACAAACCAATCAGAGTGATGAACATCTGTATCTCAGAATTGTAAAGAAAAGTAGATTACCGTGATGTTATCTGTGTATTTTATGTCCACGTCGACATCAGGTATATTCAAACTACAGCAGGAAGAAACAAGAACAAGAGAGAAAATCAAATTAAGATAACCAAACAGCATGATAGTTCTAGTTGCAAACTCCTGTGGATCCTAATCCCAAGATTGTCCACCAGGCATGCCTGTATCACTTCTACCCTACAATCTGGCCACAGCTCTATAAAAATGTTTCCTACCCATCTTCAGACTTCTTCTTATGATCCTTCAGCCAAGCTTCAAACTCAACCTCGGACATTGGAGGCTGAAACCACATTAACAAACAATTCAGACTGCTGATGATCTACATCATCATCGGTTTAAAACTGTTGAAGTCATGACATATATCAAACTGTGGATTACCTTTAATTTCTCCAGTTCTTTTAAGTCTACATCGGGCAATTGCAAACTATGATGGAATACAGAAACATTGTCATGAGTTAAACAGCACGCAATCATTCTGTCCATAAAACTTTAACAAAACCACATTGCGTTTGATAATGCCAACCTCAATCCAGACACTTCCCCTAAGAAAAGTTTCTTACCTTCCCAAAGTTCCCAATTTCTGATGTCTCATCCATAGCCACAACTGGTACTGGGATATCGGAGGCTGAAACCACATTAACAAACCAATCAGAGTGATGAACATCCTTATCGCAAAACTGAAAACATTTTTATTCAAGTGGAAATCAGTTAAAGTTGAACTCGAATTACTTCTTTAAGAGTAAAATCATTCATATGATAATAAAAGCCAATTTTTAAAATGAATGTACTTGGACAATAATGGTAAACATTTGAATTGGAATCAAAATCAATCTGTTGGATCTGTACCAAAATTCCTCAGGATTTCAGCTTGGAATGCAGTTCTTGTGGAATTGAAATGGATCTTTAGATTTTAATTGAAATCAATTTGATTGTAACCAAAACTGTGAGGAGTGACATCAAAATCATATTGATCACGACTGAAATCAATTTGTTTCAGTGAAAAACTTGTCTGGAAAGACACAATTTCCTTTCAACAAAAACTGATCTCTTGTGATTTGTAAACTAAATCAATTGAATCTAAAGAAAAAATGTTTGTATATCTTTCAGACTGATATTAAAAGTGAAACTTGAAGTCTAATCATTTGAGTTCAAAAAAATTAAATGAACCTTCTGATTACCATTAAAAGCCCCTCAAGTTGTAAGTCCAGGTCTACATCAGGTCCTTTCAAACTACAGTAGAAGACAAAGAGGCATTTCATCAGTTGAAATAGATACAACCACTGTGATCCATCACACAAAAATCAGAACACCATTATCTTAACAAAAGGAGGGAGAACGCGTGTTGCGCACCCTGCACCACTGGTTTCGTTTCTGGAACGTGAGCACAGCCATGAGCAGCCCGAAACACATCACAGGAGACCTACAAGATACCGCGGGATATAGAGAAAAACGTGCAAACAACATATTACTTTGTCTTTCTGAGAAAGATTTGTTGTTCATTTGGTGCCTGTTTTGTCGTAAGGTTTATAAAGTGATCCGATCACAAGTCTGTATATTGTCCAGACGCGCTGTGCATTTCCTTGTCTGACTTCCTGCCATGGGTCGTCATATTATGTCTAGCTAGACATGTGTCTGTTGCGTACTCCATCGAAAATAGACTTGCAGCTTATTTGAAACGGAGCAGAGCATAGTGGTGCTGGTGGTATGTTTCTGAGATGGATCGTGGCTCTCGCTGTGGAAACACAATGACTGACTAAAGTGGCTTTGAATGGCAGTGTAGTACGTGGCGCTGACTGCGGTGCGCATTGAGTATGTGGAAGTTGGGGGTTAGTTGTGCCGTGTGACTTAGCATTGTGTTTAACATTAATGCTCAGAGCTGTATGAATTTTAGGACAGGTGAGGGGGGTGACATTTTTAGACTATATCACAGGTAAAATGTTGTCAGGTGATTTTTTTTTTTTTTAAACTTAAACCAAACACCATTATTTTTTGCAAACTCCATGAAAGTCCTACTGCTAATCTTCTGTAAGATCATGTTCCATACCTACTATCCGGCTCCTTATGAATCTTCACCCCAGCTCCCAACTGGTACTTGGGCGTCAGAGGCTGAAACAGACCATTCAGACTGATGAACGTCTACATCTGATAGCTGAAAACATTTTTAACTTCAAAGGGAAATCTGTTGAAAAGAACTGAAATCATCTAAGAAATTATAACATCTGGATGACGATTTGGATTGGAACTAAAATTGTTTGCCTTAGAAACATGTTTGCTTCAACTGGAACCAATAACTTGGGATATACCCAAAAATACACAACATCAAGACCACAATGATCGGATTGGAGTTAAAATATTTTTGATATAAATTGAAATCTCAGAATATGAACTCATATCAATTTAAAAATGGAAATTGATTAGGATTTAAAATCATTTGGATCAGGACTAAAAACAATTGGTTTTGAAATAACATAAACATCATGAATGAATGATTCTAATGTCGAAATCAAAAATTAAAACAATGTAAAAAAAGTAACAGTGTCCGCTAAGGAGAAGGTAGAAGTAAAACAAAAATATCTCTAACCCTTTCTCACTTTTTCTCACTTATTCCAACACATTTTCAAATGTATTAACAATTAATATACAAACATGTATCCCCAATTTATCTACCACCCAAAATAAATACATAAATAACATTTTGGTGTGGAGTTACCGTTTTGTGCACCTCTTTTCGTTGGTGTGGAGTTACCGTTTTATGCACCTCTTTTTGTTGGTGTTCACTACAACTACAACTGAAGACAAAGGACAAAGTTTTCATCAGTTCAAATGGAGACAAGCACATTATCCATCACACAAACACCTAACCCATTTGAACAAATCAGCAATATATTATTTATATGGCTACGATCCGTCCACTAGCCTAACAAAATGTTTCATACCTGTGATCGGGCTCCTTCTTATGAACCTTCGCCACTTGTAACATCTGGTGCTTGTGACACTGTAACAACATTTAACCAATCAGCTTGATTAATATCTACTTCTAATAATGAAAACCATTTTGCTTTCAAGTGACTATGATGATCAAAATGACACTGAGATGGTTTAAAAAAACATTTTATTTTATGCAACAATAAGGTGGCTTATGGTTGGAGTAACTGTATCACGGTTTTGTGAGAAACAATGAAAACAATGGCGAAAACAGCAAATTAACAAATACCTTTTCATGTTCCTGTTTTTGTATCTCAAGCTCAGCTTCTTCCAAACTATAGCAGATAAAGGACGAGACAAAAAAAATCACATTCACAATCAAATTAAGACTCAAACAAATTAGCGTGTTTTTATTTATTGTAAAATCAAACGCACTCTTCCTCTAAGGCAGTTCTGCATCACTATTGTTCTGTGAAATGCCCCAACATAAGGCGGCCCTATGAGGCTAACAACAACCCAAAAGTTGACCCAGTAAAGCACATAAAACACCTTAAAGTCAACGTAAAACTAAAAAAAAAAACAAGTTAATATTTAACAAGAGTCAACAAAGGACTAAACCAACAATCCACAATCCCTGACTTAGAGGCAACATGCAGCAGCCCCAAGCCTCTCTCCTCATGAAGCCAGCACTGGCTTTTAAGCTCTGAGGCCAAATGCACCTCACTAAGCAATCAGTAGCTTCACCTGGGCAGAGCTGGAGATAATAGAAGGGGAGAAGGGACAAACAGCACAGGGAACAACATACCTTTCTGCACAGTCCTCCACTTCACTCACTTCCTCAGACAGGTGAGCCTAAATCCACATTGAAAGATGTTTCATGGTGGTGGATAAAAAGCATTTGATTTTAATTTAAACATTTCACGTTCCAAAGAAAATTACTTTTATTGCAGTAGTCAGTGTTATAAAACAAATGATGAAAAGTTTTTATTACCAATTCATGCTCCAAATTTCTCAAGTCTTCAGTAGGTAATTCCACACTAAAGTAGAAGACAGCAGATCAAGAATGACAGACAAATAAATACATAAATTTTTGTTTGAATACAAACCAGCTCTGAATATTAGCTTTTCATACCTTTCTGCACAGTCCTCCACTTCCTCCTCCCTCAATTCGTCATACAAATGAGCCTGAATCCACATTAAGAGAGATAATGGTGGCGGTTTAAAAAGCATTTGATCACAACTAAAATATTACAGTTTAAAAACAGATCCATTTTTGTTTTAGTATTCGGAAAGCATATAAAAAACGATATAAAATAAGAAAGTGTTGATTACTGTTTCGTGAACCAGGTGTCTCAAGTCTGCAGTCAGTAATTCCAAACTAAAACAGAAGATAAAGGATCATTACACAATAGCAGGAAAAGCAACCTTGGCAAACAGTCAAACCATTTTCACGGATTCTAGGGACCCTGTTAAGTGGAAGCAAAGTGTCTGGATTGGACAACTCAAGATTGCATCTCTGCTTTTTGCAGATGATGTAATTCAGTTGGCTTCACCCTGAGCACCAGGAGAAATTGGGGAGTTTTGCAGGTGTCAAGTGGTTGGTATCAAAATCCAAGTCTAAGGCTATGGTTCTTTGGCCATACAGCTTATCAAAACCAGTTGATCTACATACCAACTCTAAACTATTACCTTGAGCTTTGTGTAGTGACCAAAAGAACAAGATTGCAAATAAAAGCATCCTTTACAAGATTCCTCTATGGGATATCTCAGCTCAGCCTTGGAGATAGGGTGAGGAGTTTAAAGGTCCAGAGAGAGCTTGGAGTAGTGCTTTACACCTAAAGGAGCTAGCTGAGGTGGCTTGTACGTTTGATAAGGATACTGACTGGACAACCCTTTGGAAGTTATCCAGTCATGTCCATCTGGGAGGACATTCTGGGGTTGATTTAGACCTTGCTGGAGAGAGTAAAACATTGCTAGGGAGAGGGATGTCTGGGCTAACTTGCTTAACCTACTAAAGGGAAAAGGGAGTGATGGATGGAACAATACATTTATCAGAAGTGCTAATAGCACAATTCTTTTTGCATCTGTGTGATGATTATCTGCACAGCCCTAATATAGATGTAAAATAAATTAACAGGAAATAAATAAATCAAAACTTCTGATTCCAGCCGGTTCTAATATATGATGGAACAGAGAGAAGTGTATTTTATCAAAAACATTTGAGAGGGTGATGAGGACAGTGTAGTTCAATGACAAAGAAGGAGAGAAAGCAAGTCAAGATTCTTACCTTCTGTAGTACCGGTCCAGGGTTGGTCTGGCATCTAAACACAGGAATAAACTCTTTTCAACATGTTTCCTCACATGAACCGACACACATCTCACTTTTTTTTAAACTGTTTGCAAAGGTCACTACCTGCCTTCATCAGAAATGCCACTGTTTCATGACAGTTTCTATGAACAAATATCAAATACTGAAGGTTGTGTGTGTTTGAGGGGAGTGGGGGTAAATAGCAAGGAGGTTGATATCAGTGGTGCAAGGCTTTTCTCTTACAACAACCACTAAACACCAGCTTGTCTTATCTCATTCAAGTCTCACCCCAATTTCCACATACTCTGTGCGGGCTAAAACTATCGAAATACAGAGTTTAATCATTTGAGTGCAAATATGTAGACAGTCCTCTACATACATGTTTTGAGTCAGCTTGTAGTTTATTATTGCAAAAGTAAAGCACATTAGCTAGGATGACAGAGGGAATATTTCCTTTAGTCAATAACTGTCATGTCCAGCTCAGTGTCTTAGGTTGTTTTAATTTCTATCTTGTATTATTTCCTGTTTTGGGTCACTAACTTCTCCTCTCATTTCAGATCCTTCACTTCCTGCCCTCATGTGCCGTAAGATTGATTTTTTGTGTTTAACCGAAACATGGCAACAACCTAATGACTTTTCACAGCTGAATGAATGTACCCCTCCAGGGTTTGTTTACATCTGTCAACCCCGTGGTGGAGGTCTCGCGATAGTTTACCGCGAGAATTGGAAAGTGTCGCCTGTTTCTGTCCCTGTTCAGTTGTCTTTTGAATCTATTGCCTTACAACTGAATGGGCCTACACCTACCATAGTGGCCTCTGTCTATCGTCCACCAAAGCCCAATACTGATTTCTTGAATGAATTTGCTTCATTTTTAACTCATCTGTGCTCACTCTCCCCTAACATAATATTGCTGGGAGATTTTAATATACATAAATACTAACAATGCCTTGACGAAGGACTTTACATCCTGCCTTGACAGCTTTGGATTGCAGCAACATATTGATTTTCCTACACACTCCAAAGGACATATCTTGGACTTAATCTGCTGCTCTGGTGTCACTCCTCTTGACTGCGCTGCAGATGTCCTTCCCATTTCTGATCACATGTTAATATCTTTCAATGTCAAACTTGCACTATCCAAAAAATATCTGCCACGTGTCATTTCATATCGCAACATCAAGGACAGTAACTCAACTGCTCTCTCCAGTGGCATTGACAGCCTCCCCAGCATAAACTGTTTATCCACCCCCGATGAACTGGTTTCTCATTACAATGATGGTCTTCATAGCCTCTTAAATACCCTGGCTCCTTTAAAAACCAGGACTGTTTCATTCACCCACTCTGCTCCATGGTTTACACCTGAACTTCGCCTACTCAAAACAAAAGGCCGTCGCCTGGAACGTCTCTACAAGAAAACGGACTTCTTATTCACAGAGAAATGTACAATAACCACATTCTCCACTACAAGGACAGTTTCTCTACAGCTAAATCAACTCACTACGCAGGTATCATCAGCTCAGGTGAAGGGAATACAAGGACACTATTCTCCATCGTCAACAACATACTACGACCACCGGACTCTCTTGCTTCTCATCTGTATTCCACCGCCTATTGTAACTCTTTAATGTCATTTTTCACTGCCAAAGTAGACAAGATTTACCAGCAACTGACTCCTAACATCTCATCTCTCCCAGTCTTCTTACCTCCTCTCTCTCACTCACTTTCAAGTTTCAAACTTCCTTCTGTTGCTGAAATATCTGACCTCATTCAGAAATCAAAACCATCTACCTGTCCATTAGACCCTCTCCCTACTGTCCTAGTAAAAGCCTGCCTACCCCCTCTGTCTTCCCTAATAATGGTCATCATACATTCCTCCCTCACCTCTGGTCTTGTTCCCATTTCTTTCAAGTCAGCTTCAATAACCCCTATACTTAAGAAACCTGCTGCAGACCCAAATGACTTCAACAACTTCCGTCCTATCTCTAATCTACCCTTCCTATCCAAAATACTTGAAAAAACAGTTGCATCTCAGGTTCACACTCATTTGTCTGACAATAACCTCTATGAACAGTTCCAGTCTGGTTTCCGCCCCCTCCATAGCACAGAGACAGCATTGGTAAAAATCACCAACGACCTCCTCATGGCAGCTGATTCCGGACTTCTAACCATCCTCATCCTCCTTGATCTAAGTGCAGCCTTCGACACCATCTCCCATCACACACTCCTTGACAGACTTGCCTCCATCGGAATCACTGACACACCCTTGCACTGGTTTTCATCCTATCTCTCTGGTCGTACTCAGTTCACTCAACTCGGAACCTTCAAATCCCAACCATTTCCAGTCACCACCGGTGTTCCTCAGGGTTCTGTCCTGGGCCCCCTTCTGTTCATCATCTATCTCCTTCCTCTTGGCCATATCTTCCGTAAGTATAACATCCAGTTCCATTGCTATGCGGATGACACCCAGCTCTATCTGTCCACCAAACCCACTTGCCTCCCTCCCGCCCACTTCCCTGACAGATTGCCTGCAAGAAATCAAATCCTGGTTCACCTGCAACTTCCTCAAATTAAACAGTGACAAAACCGAGCTTCTCCTCATCGGCACCAAATCAACAATCTCCAAACTTGACAGTTTTTCACTGGCTATTGACCACTCCTCAGTTTCCCCTTCCCCTCAGGTTAAGAGTCTGGGTGTCATCCTTGACAGCTCACTATCATTCCAAGCTCACATCAATAACGTCACCCGG